CCCATAGCGGGTTTAGAGTAAAATCATATGAGGGAATGAATTGGAAAGCCCTGAGAATATAACAAACTGTCTATTTCTCTGTGAGGTAGGTTTCACTCTTCGGATATGATCACAAAATGTATTATGTGGGGAGTGTATTATGTGGGTAAATAGTAAGGGCTGGAAAATAATTTCTCTTTCAATTTGGAGCATGAAAGAAAGTTAAGGATGTTTGTTACTGTTTGTTTATCTTGGCATTATAAAGAAGAGGGGAATTCTTGTCAGGCTAAAGCAAAGATGATAAGAAATAAAATAAGGGCTGCTACCTGTCATAAAAATCAGTGAGTTTTTTAAACACAGCATGATACGTGTGATGAGGAAGGTAGGTGTTACCTAATCAGTTATATTGGTGACTTATGGCAAAAATAGCATTCCTAGCAATCCAGCAGCTGAGGTTTACCAAATAAAGTTGTAATCCATGCCAACATCAGACAGGATTCAAAAACTGACTAGCGTGGAACTTTTTTATTCAGAGGGAGCCTTTGTGAACTGGAATACTTACAAATTGCTCAGCCTTCAGTTAAACAGCATTATAATCATGGAACTGTCTGAAAAAGAGAGTTGGTGTTACAGGTGTTGTGCTTTGAGCACAAACTGTTTTAACAAAGCCATTTAATTGAGCCTGTTTAAGGGATTCCAAGTTGATTAGAAACAAATGAAAGGAATGTTATATTGAAAACAAATATACTAACGCAGTTTGTCTATGTGATTAATGTGAATATAATAATTTTTCAATATTTAGGTACTGTAGGAGTTTTGGATTTCAGTGTAATGTTCCTAAAGCAATCTATGGTGCATTTATCTTCAAACTTGTAGTTGCTACAAGGTATCATCACATCATATTTATTCATCAAATCTGACCCTAGATATCAAGAAATAGTGCTGCCTTTACAGCCTGTTTGCTGCGTTTGCTACCGATCTGTGATTTTCCTCAGCAACTTCCATTATTCCAGTCCTATATTAAGCTTTGGGAATCCTTACTGGAAGGGAGCAGGTAGAGTCTTGTGTGTAAAGGTTGAGTTTAGTTCTACCTTCAAGTCTTACTCCATGAGGTAGCTGTAATATTTATATTCTCATTACTTCTCAAGGTATGATTTGATGCTGCTATAATAATATTTAGATTATGACATGAATATTTAGTGTATTGAACAAAACAACAACAGCCTAACAGCTGTATTTATGAACATAGATGCTCAGATGTTAGAGTAGATTAGTAATTATTTTTTCCCCTCCTGCTTTCCATCAGAATTCAGCATACAGAGACAACAGTGAATTCTTCTAAAAGCTAGGAAAATAGCTTGGAAAGCTGAAGGTTAGCTCCTACTAAACAGTTTTTAAGCGTTACCTCTTTTAGTTCTATTTCTTATTTTTTCACCTTAGAAGTGTAAATGTTGGAGCTTACAGAAAGTACTTCAGAGTTGGACTACTCTGCTTGGCCTCTATATTTCAGTCATCAGGAGAACCTGTTTCCCCACATGTACTGTCACTGACTTTCTGCTCTGTTCCTTTTTTTTTCCTTTTTGTATTTTTATCTTGCCTGTCTTTCTGAGTTCATGTCTTTTTCCACCATCTGTTACCATTCACATGCTCTCTTTTGACAATTTCTCTTAATGTCCCATTTTATGTGGCTCCGTTGTCTCCATTTGTAATTCCTTTTGCCTTCCTTTTCTTCTAAGATTTGAGAATTTTGGAAGTACTTTGATTTTTTTTTTTAAAGGTATTTCAGAAATGTGCTTGGTTGATAGCAAATACCTCCTGCTCCTCTCTTTGCATTGCTGTTGCCATAGTATTCCCATCAGTGCTATGACATAAATGACAGGCAACATACAGCTATGACTATATAAATAGGTTGCTTAAAGAACAACACTCTTCCCATGGCATAAGATGTTCCATCATATGTCTAAACTGAAAAGTTGACTAATCTTTTTTTGCCACTTTAAAGGGCTGTAACTGTAGAACAGTTCTTAAGGGTCCAAAACTGTTCCTAGAACTGATTAGAAAGACAGGTAAAAAGTATTAAAATGTAGTACATTCTCCAAAACTTTAAGAATTATGAATTATGAGGTTTTATATGTGTGTGTGTGTGTATATATTCGTGTCTTAAGGCCAGGCGGTTTTTGTTTTGTTTTCTAGGAGTTTTAACTCTTTAACATTGTGTACTTCATGTCTTTACCATTTTGTTTCTTAGGAAAATGTATGGGAATAACAAACACAGTGACATTACTATTTATGTCATGGTTACAGTAATAGTGCCCTCCTGTTTCAGTATTTTACTGTATTTCTTCCAAAACAAAAATAGCTTTAATGGCACGATTCAACATTTGTATCCTAAAATACAGTGGGGAAAAATATACCTTGTAATGTAAGGAGTGGAAGTTCCACTTCACAGTTTCCTGACTAACCTACTTACGTATTACAGTCTCTTGCAGCTCCATATCTGTAACTCAGTATCCCATACAGGTTTTTGTTGTTGTTTTGTGTGAAAACAAAGTAAATTTATTTCTTTTTTAAACAGTCATGTATGCCAAAAAGTAGATTTTTGAAACAAGGTCCTTTTGCAGCTCGAGTATACGTGTGCAATTCCTTTAGCAGGTGTGATGTTTGTTAGAGAGCTGGGGACAAATACTGCAAACGTAGCTTAGAACTGTTTTAACTAGCTTGGTATATTTGTGCAGTTTCACCACAATTCTTTCATTAAATTCATGCTGCTACCGTAGTGTTACTGTCAATGATAACCAGTATCTGCTGATGACTTGCTCATTTACATATGTAAATGAGCAATATTGTAATGGATTTATAGAATGGCTGTTTATAGTATGTTGTTTCTTCATTCTTGAATACGTTTTTAGTGTTGTGTTATGCCTGATGTTGAACTGCTGAATACTGCAGGTAATGCAGTACCTGTGCCACGTAAATTGCATATCCAGTTTTCACCCATGTCTGTAATCTTGTTCAGGTTAATTGAATAACTCTTGTTGGTAATGACTTTTTTCATAAGTGAGGACTTGCAGAATTGGATTTTTCTTACGTGTTGCTCCTTACGTGTAATCACAGAGCCAGAAAATGCTTTGCAGTTAAATCATGTTGATGTAGAAAGATAACACCTTGGAATGTTAGAAGTTGCTTTCTTTATCTGCTACTTACTCCCACTGAAAAGCAGGTTGCAGAGTTGAAATGGAATAATTAAATTTGTGTTCCTAATCTGTTTCACTGCCAAGTCAAATGTTTTAATTTAAATTGCTTTGGAAGTGATACTGCTGAAAGGCAGTAACTAAAGGGTGAAGATAAATACTGGCTTCAGGAATTCCTTAAATCAATGCAGCTTGACCCACAGTTGTAAATCACTTTGTATTATGACAGGGAGAGTAGAGAATAACATCAGAAAAGAGAGGGAAAAAGTTAATGGTTTTAACCTGAGCAGTGAAAATGATATAAATAGGCAAATAAAGCTATATTTGAAAAAGACACTGAGCTGGTAGGATCTGAAATTTCATTAACTACGAAAATAAATTCAGACAGAACTCTTGAAAGTTATCTTACTTAAATAGTATTCAAGATTATCCTGCATTCTGTGAAGGCAGATTGGTGGAAAGATTAGGCAAAGCAGCATATTCTATGCATGGAACTAAACAGTGTTTTTCTCTAAATGTTGTCAGCTGAAGGTATTTATCTGTATATACCTATAAGTCATTCCATTCTTCAGTCCAGTAAATTTAGTTTAGTTGCTAATGATCTTGAAAGGAGAAAATATGGTTATTCAGAAATTAGAATGTAAAGTACGTAATGTTCTTTTACTCAACCCTAATCAAACCTGTGTTTCACTTTAAAGGTGTTGGTGTCTAGGAGTGCTTTGCTGATGTATAAGTAGACTTCACCAGATTTAGAGTTACATTAAATTTCTTTCAATTGATTCTCCAGAAGATACATTAAATTCAGAGGGGAAATCCTTCCTGCGCAGTCTCACTCTCTCTCTCTCTCTCTCTCTCTCTCTCTTTTTTTTAATCAAAGAAAGGACAATACATCCCACTGTATTGGAGATTAATGGCGAGAATCCGAGGTAGAGATTGCTTGCTGGCCTGGTGAGCTGTTGGATAGCTGAGGCCGCTACAAGTTTATGCTTGCTGCTAGGAAAAATGTTTTAGCTTTAGTGCTAGATTGAAAAGTTTCAGTGTTTTGCTCTTCTCCTTATTTTATGTTGGAATTTGTCCACTCTTGTCATGGGTTTTGGTAACAAACATAAATTTGACTGAATTGAGTAGCAGTTTATTTTTCACAGACCAAATCAAACCTTCTCTCCTTGGAGAGTGCTGTATTACGATTTGTTTGCTGGAAAGTCTTCAGCCTGAAGAACTCTGCACTATCTGCTAGTTTTTCTTGCTAGTTTAAGTTCCTTTATTAAAAACAAGAGCAAATAAATTTGGTCAACAAATATATAACTTTGTCAGCCCAAAAGTGCGAGGCAAGGTAAATGCATGTTCTTAGTTTCCCACCTCAAAGCAGAAGGTATAAAAAGCTCCTGTTCCCAGCAGATGGTTGCTTCCGAATTCCTTGCATATACTTTTATTGGAGACAAAAATTGAGGACAGATGGCAGGGGGTTCAAGGGAAAGGATTTTCTTCAAAAAGAAAGAAAAATCTGAAGCTGGATATAGAAATAATTATTTGTCTTTGTTGTTATTTGTGCTTGTTAACTCTGGTTCAGTTCCAGGATTCTTTCCTCAAGTTAAGTAAGTAGTTGTAAGTAAAAATACACGCAAGACATTTTATGAGTTTTCTGAAAGACTGTTGAGTCAAATACCATTTTATTAGATGGCTTTTCAATCACTGCAGCTTGTTTGCTATGGGAAAGGCAGTCCTTTCATGCCTTCACCACTCACAAACCACAATATTCTGTATATTCTTAAATTTTTTTCTCTTTTCCTTTTTTTCCAGCTACTCCTGGTGTTCTGCATGAACCTTCATTAGTCAATTTGGAAATGGACTTGCTTTCTGGAACCTACCTCTTGGCAGTCTTATTAGCCTGTATTGTATTTCAATCTGGAGCACAGGAGAAGAACTACACAGTGCGGGAAGAACTGCCTGAAAATGTCCTCATTGGCAATTTGCTCAAGGATCTTAATCTAACACTGGATCCAGATGTCCCCCTTTCCTCGCCACTACAGTTCAAGCTTGTGTATAAGACTGGGGATGTACCACTAGTACGAGTGGAGGAGAACACTGGTGAGATATTTACAACTGCAAACCGCATAGACCGAGAGAAGCTGTGCTCTGGCATCTTTAGTGAGAATCGCTGCTTTTATGAGGTGGAGGTTGCCGTTTTGCCTGATGAAGTCTTCAGACTGGTCAAGATCAGATTCCTAATAGAGGATATAAATGACAATGCCCCCCTCTTCCCATCTACAGTTATTAACATCTCTATCCCTGAAAACACAGCGATTAATTCTCGCTATTCTGTTCCATCTGCCATTGATCCAGACATTGGTGTGAATGGTATTCAGCATTATGAACTACTTAAGGTGAGTTTCTTCTCTTCTAATGTGTTGTTGTTTGTCTTTACTGACCCACAACTATTGTCAGTTCTCATCAAATCATTAGAAATATGAAACTGTGAATTGTGGTAGTGGTACACTGCAGATAGCTTTTGAAATCTTATCCTATACACCTGAGAGCATTGTAGTTCATCTTCTTGGAGAAAGCTGCTTGTGTGTGTGTGCCTGTGTAACTGAAACACACACGTCTTCCTTAACAGTCCACTGACATTCAAATTACTTGTACAGCTTTGGCTGATAATTTTCTTGCACCATCAAGGATGTGCTCTCATCACCACCAATATAATAATATAACAATATGTTGCAGTGGGTTTGTGCCTTCCTGTTGCATGACTGTTATATGAGCAGTAGTGCTTAGCCCAGGAGATTAAGTAATGTGCTCTCTTATAGAGAAGCCATGAAATAGTAAGACAGACTATTCTGTTCTGTAATAGCTGTTCTGTCTATGCTTTAATTACATTTTTCTCTTGTGTGCTTTCTTATCAGGTAATTTTCGAGTTATGGTTTTACTGTCTTTAAATAAGACAGAGATTTCACATAGCTTGGAAAGCATCTGTATATCGCCAAAACAGTTTTCATCAGACAGACATTGTATGGAATAGTAGCATCAATGTATTGTTCTACTCAATTCCTGGTAGTTTTTACAGTGTTAGTATCAAAAGTGATCAAAAAAGAAGGAGAAGGAAGTGGTAGAAATGAAAGATGCTGTTGAGCAGACAGGACAGAGCATATAAACAAAGATCCATCGTTCACTGTGGAAGATAAGGGAGATGAATGGGGAAGGGAAGAGGTGCATGAGAATTTTTTTTCCATGGGTTAACAGTGTTAGGAGGGAGAATGAGCACAAAATGGTGTTGCTTGCATTTTCTTCCAAAATGCATCTCATACATTAATCTGTGCCTCTTGCTGGGAGTACGCTGTGAAGTTACTAATGTCTTCTGATGTGTTGATATTTTCCTTCACTATTTAAGCAGCATACAGAAATGTGGCAGCATATACAAATGCACAGGATGAATTTAGCAGGGGTAATGTAACAGTGTTGTGGGGATTTGGGGTAAGCAGTGGATGTGAAGGCAGGGCAGTGAGCGTGGAGGTGGGAGGTGATTAGATATGCATATCATGTCACTTCACGGAAGCACGAAAGCTGAAGCTTTAATATGCATGCAGCAACATGAGTGAATATGTTGCTACATACTTTAGAGAAGGTAATGGCAAATTAACAAGCTGTTCAATGAAGGGAAATCTCTTTAGTTGCATTTCACTTGTAAAAAATTTTAGCTAAAATACTCTACTGTCTGTACAGAGCCAGGCCTATTTCTCAGAAAAGGTAAAGAGATTTCTGACATAACAATTTTCTAAAGACACCAAGCTGTTAACTACAAACTCATCTGTGTAGCTTAGAGGTCGTTAGCACATTTTCAGCAACTCTGTACTTTATTTCAAATAATCAAATGTTACAGTATTTCCTGTATGAGATAAAGGTTATTGTTGTATTCAGTTTTTTTGCAAAACAGATCATTAATGAATTACAAAGTCATTTAATTAGGTGACTCACTTTATTTGAAACTCCTACCTCTTTCTAAAAAGAAAACAGAACATCTTAAAATGTTTTTCTTTTGTTTTGGGTTCAGGCTTACTAGCAAGTTTTGTAACACAGGGTTTGATTTGTCAAATGGAACGTTCACAGTTTTGTACAATTTAAATTACCACTCAAATAAGCATTTGCATATTTTTTCCTTCCTGCATTTTCTCAAAACATCTGAATAGAAGGAGACTTTTTTTGTAAGTGATTCATGGTATGAGAACCTCAGACCTTTCCAGGTGTCTGTGATTGAACGATATACTGTCTGAAAACTGTGAACTCTGAGAAAATAACAGTTGTTGATAACCTCTGCATTTGTTCCTGTCCTACTCAGGAGTCATATGGAGGACAATTCTAAGGAAAACAGTGTTTTTAGTTTTCATCTCAGTGTTTGTAAGAAAACCCAAATATGGTCTGTAGGATTCCTTTTGAATTGTTTTCTTATTTAGAAAAGCAGTTGCAACATTTTTGAAGATGTGATAGCAGTGTGATAGTTCTAGCAACTGACCAAGTTATTTGAGTTGAAGTTTACAAATACTGAATGACCTAAAAATAGTGATATTCTAACAATGCATGAAGCTTTCTTTTTTGCCACAATAAAGAAGATTTCAGGAAACAGTCATGCAGTACACCTTGCTGTTTGCCAAAGAAATTGTGCATAGAGCTATAAATGTTCATGATGCTCTACTGCAGTGCCCAAACTGTGGATAGGATAATATGAAGTGTTCAAATAGCAGATGCTGTGTAGTGTTTACTGTGGACAAGGCAAGGGAGGGTGAACTTAATTAAAAATAATTTAAAAAAGAAAATTATTTACAGTGAACAACTGCCTTAAGTCTAGAGAGGGAGGAAGGATGGCATAACATTGATAGTAGGAGGTGATGGAGAAGAAAGCTACGACAGATGGTGAAGCAGTTCAGGGAGGGAAATGGCCAGATAAGAAAGCAGTGATTTTTGTCTTAGTTGAGCATAAAGAGGGAGTTGACAGTGCATATTTTATTCTTCTTGCATGTGGTTGCCTCCCTGAGCAACTACATGGTCCATGGGTCTTTGTTTCTTCGGGTGGTCAGGCTGCTCACAAATGTATATAAAATGTTTACGCATTGTGTCTAGTAATACCATCAGTGTGTTAAAAATGCATACATGCTGTTGTTGATTACAGCACATGTTTGAGTTCAAGGCAAGCTAATATTTAGTATAACCTGATCAGTAGACTTGGAATTTACACAGGCCTGTGCTTTAGCTTTGAGGATTGCCATGTGAAGCATTTTGTTATTCTCTTGACTGTTAAAAATGAGAGCTGTTTCAGAGCAGTTTTTTAAACAGGATCTCAGAACACTGTTGTGGAGAGTCAGCTTTGTTCTTCCAAATGGATTCATATCTGTGCCTGCTTAAATTAAATCCTATTATTGACTCGTTAGCATTTCTTGTCAACCAGCACAACCACATAAACTACACGGTGCGTATTTACAACGTGCAATTAGCAATGGACTAGAGTGAAAGCAGAGCTCTGCTCTTACAGGAGAAGAGCATTTTCTAATGTGAGCTAATCCTTTGTTCTGATAGTTTGTTGCTTGTTTAATCTGTGTCAGTTTGGGGGAAATTAGGTTGGTGTTACTGCTATAGTTCCATTACTCTTACTTGTCAGAATATTATTCCTGTATTTACCTATCATCAGAAGCAGCTGGTGGATTCCTTCTAGATTTGTATAATAATCTCTTTGTAGCTGTCAGTTCATGCATCTGTAATCTGACAAAATAGATTCTTACTCAGTCTCACAACACGTCAGTCTTGCCTCTGATGGGGAGAGTTACCTCTTGGTACTGTAAATCATCTCTTGCAGTGTCTTTCAGTCTAAGCTTTTCCCTGCTTTCTGATACAATTTATCAATTCCTTGACTTATGGAAGATGGAGATTACAAATCTTCATCAGATTTCTAGACTTGTCTTGAAACTAGTTTCTTTTCTGAGCCTTGCAGGAGTTTGGGATCAAGTAACTAACATCACTGCTCGTCTGTGAAAATTGGGAATGTAAGAAGATATATTTTATGTAAAATGAAAGCAAGGAAGGCAGTTAAAATTACGGAGTGTGACTAGATTTGCAGTTAAATTAGAATGGAATAGTTAGGTTTATGAAATCAGTATTGAAAATCATATCATAGACAGAATTACAAATTTTGATAGCAAAAAGACTGATGCTGAAGGTGGGAAAATGGAAATTCCCTATGACCTGCTTGCTTTTTAGTGTGATACCAGTATGATCTTAGTAGTTGAGTACATTAGACAGAAGGGAAGGAAGCACCCTGCAAACAAGTTGCATGGTGACACAAACAGAGCCTGTGGATGCTCATCCACTTGGAAAGATCTCAGCATAGGTGTTCACCAGAATGTCTGCATTGACCCAATCATCAGCTGCTTAAACCTCCTGTCTTTGTGCTCCTGATTTGTTTTTCTTACTTCACAGTCCCTTAATTGAGTTAACATAGGGACTTTATTAAGTGTAACATTGCAGGACAAGTTAACTTCCATTATCACTGTAATAGCTCTTATGCATTATACTTCATGTATTTGGGGAACACTGCTTTGTTTTCTCTCTTACTTCACGTGCCAGCAAAGGTGGGAAAGATAATAGATTTAGGGGGCTCTAAAGTATATTTAGGAAATTTTTTGCTCTAGAGGTGCACTCCTGCCAAGCTCTGAAGTCACCCTCTAGTGCCTGTAATTTAATAAATATGGAGAGTTGGATGTGTTGCTTTTCTAAGGTAACTTTTAGCTGCCCTTCAGCAGAGAAAGGTTTGCTAGGACACTGGGTCTGTATTTTAAAGGATGCAGAGTAATTCTTTTGAAGTCTGCAGTACTTACAAGGAATAGGTCAAAATTGAAACATCTTGCACTTTCTCTGTTGCAGCCATGGATCTATGTATTTCTTTGATGTTACAGTGTAGCTTCATTTAGTCCACATAGGTCGTTACCATTGTAAAGCCGTCTAAGTCCTAGAAGTAATGCCTCCTCTTTATTTCCATAGAAACTACAACAGATATAAAGAGCACAATAACACCATTTAATATAAAAAGTCTTGCTATAAAAGTCTATTAGTGCCAGTAGTTGATTCATGTGGATGAGTTGATCAAAATGCTCTTCCTTTTGTGTTGTGAGAGTTGTGCTTGGCTGTCTGGAATGTGGCTTATCTTTCATGTAGCTTTTTCTGCTGCTGAAACTTTCCATCCACTTTGATGTGGATGCTCACATCCACTGTTTGGTCTTCATAAATATTCAGCAGGTATCAATGAATGTCAATGGGGGCAATTACTTCTGTATAGATGAATTTAGTTTTACCTGTACTTCATACACTGATCCACGTCAGATGCCGTTCTGTCAGACTGCCC